GTCTTCATTCAAGGAGAACAAACATGAAGACCAAACACACAGGAGCCTCCACTGGCAGGCAGTGTTACACCCACACACACACAAACACACACAAACACCCACACACACATATACATACATACACAGAGACAGAAACACACAGACACACACATATACATACATACACAGAGACAGAAACACACAGACACACACATATACATACATACGCACAAAGGCACACACACACACACACACACATACATACACACAGAGACACACACACATACATACACACAAAGACACACATACACACATACATACACAGAGACACACACACATACATACATACACACAAAGACACACACATACATACATACACACAAAGACACACACATACATACACACAGAGACACACACACATACATACATACACACAAAGACACACACATACATACACACAGAGACACACACACATACATACACACAGAAACACACACACATACATACACACAGACACACACATATACATACATACAGAGACACACACATATACATACATACACACAGAGACACACACATATACATACATACACACAAAGACACACACACATACACACACACAGAGACACACACACACACGCATCTGTGCTGATTCAGTGTTTATCCTTCATGCCGAACAGCTTCCTTATTCCTTTCAGACCAGCATCAGTCTGTAAAAACGCAAGTTTTCCTCTTAGCACCCAGTGAGCTTGTCTGGAAGGAAACTACGTAGAGTTACATTGTGAATGAGTGTCACATTGTATATAATGTTCATTGGCAACAATGACTGATGACGCAAATGTGTTTTAAAAGAAAATGTGTGGGCAGTATTCGTCCATTTCAGATACTTCAGTAACAAGAAAACAAGCTAAAAGGATTTTTACGCAGTATTTATACTCTCTCTATCTCTCTCTCCCTCTGATATATATACACGTATGCGCGCGCACACACACACACAGAGCACAAATTATTTATGTACGTATGTATCTACTTGCCAACAGAGAATGCAGATAATTCACAAACAGTGTGCTGTGAACCTGGAAGCGGCTGGGGGTCGCGTGCACCTTTAACTTGCACAACGGTACCGATTCACACGACTCACAGTAGGATGAAGGGAGAACGTGAACCTTGGACTCACACGTCCTGCATATAATAGGAGGGTTTGGAGTCAGGGGACACAGTCCGCCTCGGACCGCCAGATAGCATGCGGGCCCTCAGCCTCCTCGCCGTCTGCCTGGGCCTGGCGGCCGTGGCGACAGAGAAACCTCATCCTTGCAGTAAGAGACAAACAGGAGGGGGGGGGCTTTTAAAGGCTTGGCATTAGAACCTGGACAGGGACCCACGTCCTGACAGTGTCATGCTTATAGTACCTATAACAACTATAAAAAGACTCAGCGTTTGCAGTATTTCTGATTATGCTGTCGGGACACTGTGATGAATTCACCCTCTATTTCTGTAT